GAGAGAACGTTCCTGCTCCACAGGCATGCGGGGGAGGGAGGCATAAGCACGGCTCTGCGTCAGAAATCAAGCTCAGAGGCTGGTCTGAGAAAATGCCACACGGGGAACATGGGGAGCGGCTGAGTCATGCGCTGAGAACCTCACAGAATCCTACACATCCCGTGCTTTTCCAAACGAGAAGCGCAAAGCACAAACTAAAGAGCAAAATAAAAGACAGATAATAACAGGAAGACAGATGTTTTGCAAAGGGGAAGGGGACGCAGTGTTGGAGGGAGGGGCAGGGCGAGATCAAAAGAGAATTACGATGTGTCATGTACGCGTACCAGATAACCACAGTGACCCCTGAGTACTGCGAACATGCGCTAATCAGTACGTGAAATCTGAAATTAATGCCATCTGTTGGGTGTGCGTCTGTGTGTCCCCCCGAAGCCTCATGTGGTCCCGGGGGACAGGCTTTTCAACTGCAGCTTGTTAAACCTGGCCCTCGTGTTTTCATGCCCTCATCTCAGGAAACAGGGTTACAGCATTTCCGGCTTGGCTCAGGAGGGCGCCGGGGTCCTCACTTTGTAAATATCCTCATCCTGTGCAGGAGGAGGGTGCATTCCTGGTGTGAGTGCTGCACCCACCCGAGGGGCTGGGGGTTGCCTGCAGACAGCGCAAGGAAGGAACAGAAGCTTGCCTGCCCCCTTTTTGCTCTTGCTGTCTTCTGCCGCCTGGAACGCTGCCCCTGTGCCATGCCACCCTGCCTGGGAGCCGGCCCATTACAGGCTGAAGGTTAGGGGCTGAAACCTCCACAAACTGTGAGCTAAATAAACCTTTCCTTCTTTAATTCTAGGTGTCTTACTTTGTCTCAGCAAGGAGAGAAAAGTAACCTAGACACCATCTTTTCCATCTTTCGTCTGCCTGGGGCTGTCACCTGCACGCTGCATTAGTGACTGTCATCGTGCTCTACAAAGCAAACATCAAATGACAGGAAATCAACTCTGAAAGGCTGTGCTTTCTGTGTGACCATGGGGTGAGTTTTAAATAAGGCAGCTCTAATCCTCCAAGTGTAACATGTGAATGGCTTTTCAAAGGAAGACAAAGCTCCCCCTGGTCTCTGGTTGGGACAGTCCACCTCATTTGCATGATCAAAGAGGGTTCAGCGCTCCAGAATCAACAATGCACTGGCTTTGACAGGAAGTGGGGCCTCAGATGCACAAAAACAGGAACGGTAGCTCTCTGTGGGTGGTATAATTAGGGGCGATTTTCGGGAGCTGTTTAGGGAACTGGTTTTTTTCCCCTGCAGCTTGCCTGCATTAATCCCATCATAAAGGACAACAATGCAGTCTCAATGGAAAGTGCCTAGCAACGAGAAGGGACAAACGGGGGAGGGGTGGTTGTTAAGGGCGCTGAATGGAAGCGCCTTGGCAGAAGGACCCTCAGAGAAGTGCACACCTTCCTCCAGGCAGTGGGGACGAGCATAAGGCTGCAGAGACCCCAACTGATAGCCAGACAGTCCCAGGGCTGAGAATCCCTCCAGAATGACGCTGTGGGCCGGTGTCTTTGAGACACAGAGGGGGAAGGAGGAGTTGCTAGGAGCAGGGCTGCAGTGACAAAGGCCCCAGCTGCCCTGAAAAGAGGGAGGGAGGGAGCCCGGGAGCTCCCGGGCGTCTCAGAATGGTGTGGCTTCCAGTGCCCTGCTTTGGCCCAGTGAGATAGACTTCTGACTGCAGAACTGTGGGAGATGGGTTGATGCACTGTTGGTGTTTTGTTTTATTTTTGCTTCTACCCCAAGATGAATCCCCCCTCAGCAAACAGACTGTAAGAGAAAGCACTAGCATCCACTCTGTGAGGCTTTTTATTTTTTCTGTCATACCCTAAGATTGTTGGAAAGAGCTCGCTGGAAAGGGGAACGAGTAGGTGAGGCCTGCGCGGCCCTGTCCCAGCCCTTGGGGACCCTCGGTGCCAAGGGCGGTACACGGTCCCACGCCGTGCAGACACAGGAAGCTTAACGACCAAAAGACCACGCACCTGAACTCGGCATCAGCGCGGGATCAGTTCGGCCCCCCGGGGCTGCTTTCTCAGAACAGTCTGCGGAAGGAGAGAGGCGCGTGAGACCCCAGGCCTACCCGATGCAGCCCGATAGGAAACGCACTGCGCCCCCGGAATCAGACCACGCGGGCCGGAAGTTTCAGGGGTTCCTGAGGGCAAGCCTACATTACCTGGGACTCGAGCCTGCATGAACTAGGTGGACACCCACTGCCCCCGCTGCCTTAGCTACCCCTTCCCTCGGAAGGGCGCCCCCCGAGGCGTGTGTCAGTCAGGAAGCCCGCACCGAGAGCAGCTGGGGTGGAGACTGCCGGCTCGTGACCGCGCGTCCTTGCCCCGGCTGTTATAGGAGTCGCACCCGCAGGTCCTACCCAGAGCACTGCCCGCAGGCAGGACCCACGCGTGCGCAGGTGCAGGCGGGGAAGGCAGCGGGCACAGCGCAGCGCTCTGTGGCCGCACACCTGTGCTCATCAGCACGCGGCAGCTGATGCCCGGGCCGTCCCACGCCAGCCCCGGCCGAGGCTTGCGGGTCCTGTCATACCCACGGCCCCCCAGTGTCGCTGCCAACCCCGGCACGCAGGCGAGGCGTGAAGTCACAGTCCTCAGCCCGCGACCGTCTGAATCACGCGACAGGCCGTGCGCACGCGGGCGTGCCCTGGGCCGGGGGGTGGGGGGCGTTGGCCCAGACCACCGCCCGGGAAAGTGCCACACCCCATCAGTGTGGCGACAGCACACACGGGGCTGCACCCCCGGCCCGCGTCACGGCCGCGCGCGTCGCGTGTTGTGCACTGGAGTCGGCTGTACCGCACGCAACCTGTCGCGCGGGCAAGAACACCACGAACACACGGGTGCATTCACGCACACGCGCTGCCTTTGTACGCATGCGCGGCCGGCCGGTCCCGGCTCTGCACCTCCCTCCCCCGTCCGGTGTCCATGGAAACCCCCATCCCAGGATGCAGCGCGCCGTCGGCCGGTCACTCAGCACAGCGGACGTCCCGCTCTGGGCAGCGCGTGCGAAGGTCGCGCTGGGCGGGCCGCGGGGCAGCAGCGGGGTGGGGGGGGGTGCACATCGGAGGGCCCGCAGAACCCGACTGTGTGGGCACGCGCGCTGAAGACCCCGGGAGGAGGACGCCGGTGCCCGCTGCCCCGCGGCCGTGAAGCACTGCCCGGCTTGGCCCGGCTCGGCCCCCGCTCGGCCCCCGCTCGGCCCCCGCTCGGCCCCCGCTCGGCCCCCGCTCGGCCCGGCTCGGCCCTGCTCAGCTCTGCTCGATCCCCGCGGCCGCGCACGCGCGTTCCTGCGCACGCGTGGCTCTCCGCGCCAGGCCCGGCCCAGGGTTCTGATCGCGCGGGCTTCCCCGCACGGGTGTTCCCCGAGGCCGGGGCAGAATGACCCCCTGCCGACCCGGCATGAGCGCGAGCTGGGCGCACTTCCGCTCCCCGGGGCTGTGCCGCGGCGGGGCTGGCCGCTGTACCGAGGGCCGTGCGCGGTCTTCACTTACACAAATACGCGTATTTATTTCTAAATTTGGGATGCTCCTACTGAGAGAATCACTGCTGCCATGCACCAGTGGCATGGATAATCCACTGAAATACCGTACCTAGCTGGGTGTGGTGGTGCAGGCCTGTACGCCCAGAACTATGGGAGGCTGAGGCAGCAGGATCACCCAGAGTTCAAGGCCAGCGTTAGTTACACAGTGAGAACCTGTCTCAAAAAACAAAACAAGGGCCAGGGGTATAGCTCAGTGGCACAAGCACCTGCCTGGCAAGTGGTAGGGCCTATGTTTGATTCCCGGTACCAAAAAATAAACCAAACCAAACCAGAACAAAACAACGAAAAGAAGGGCTACAGAGATAGCGCAGCATGAAGGTCCTGGATTCAGTTCCCAGGAATGCCAAAAATTAAAAGATCGTATTAGATACAATACTTTTAAAGTATCTTTGTTTTTCTTCTGAGACAGGGTCTCACCATGTAGCTGGGTCGGCCTTGAGCTCAGTGTGAAGTATCTTGTTATGGGGTTGTCATGGACACCAATCTTTAGAAGTATTTGTAGTGCTTCATACAGGTACACACATGTCCCTACTTAGGACTAATTCAGACAGACTGTTCGCAGCTGCAGTGTTCTGAGGGACGAAGGTGGGATGATTTACTTAGATCATGAGAAAGCAATGCCGACGTCTGGGCACCCTAAGCATACATCACCTTCGAAAAGCCTCAGCATCTTCAGAAACTAGTTGCGTCTGACAAGGTGTCACAGCCAGGCGGTGTCTGCGGACTTACGGCAGCAGAGGGTCACGTGGCACCCTGGAAAAGAGCCTGGAGAGACACAGAGCACTCATTAGGAGCCAGGGAAACGGCTAGGGGAGGCTCTGGGTAGTTTCCAAGTGTCAGAAATAAACATGGAAACTCTGGGCACCCAAACACGGCCTGGAGTTTAGCTGGTAATAAATACGAAGATCAAAGTGAGAGTGGTGCCACACGCCCCTAGTGGCACTTACTTGGAGGCTGAGGCAGGCGGGTCTCACTCTTGAGGCCACCTTTGAAACTCAGTAAGTCCCTATTTCAAAACAAAAAAGTAAAAAGGTTGTGGATGCGGCTCAGAGCTCCTGAGTTCAAACCTTAGTACTGCAAAACCAAACCAAACCAAGAGACAGGGAGGGAGACAGGAGAGAGAACTGACGTGAGTGACCGAGATCCAGCCTGCGGTGGTGGTGCTCCCGGATGATCTGTCCATGAGGAGTGTGGGACACTGGGCTTCCGGGCCACCGCGGCAGCCTTTCGGAGACACCCAGGCCCTCCCGAAGGCCCCGTACATCCTCCGCGGGCAGTCTTGGCGCAGCTTGGCTGGCCTGGACACGCCTGAGAGGGTCCTGGACACCGCCTGCGGAACTCAGCCCCCCTCGGGGACTCGAAACTGTTGTGCAACCAGCCCGGCAGAGCCCGCTGAGGGTGAGACCCCGGGAGACGGGCGTCCCGACCCCACACGCGGCGCTCTGAGGCGCTGCCCCCACTGTGTTCCGGTCCTGACTGTGGGCCAGGGCAGGCCTGCTCCTTGGTCACACATCGGGCCCAGCAGCAGCGATAAGCCCTGGGCCACGCCTGCTCACCCGCTCCCTGCGGGCCTTGGAGCTGAGGTCTCAGCCTGCAGGGCCGGTGCGGTGTGCACCCTCCCGGGCACTGGCCCTGACCGGAGGCTCCTCCACTAATGTGACCCCAGGAGATGAAGACTGCTCCCCTGGTGCCTTCTGGGAAACAGAGACGCCTGGGTGCCGCAGAGGATCACGGTCTACACCCCACAGATGAGGGAGACGCGGGCACACACAGCTGACGGCATGAAGACAGGAAGACAATGCCGGAAGGAAGAAGAAATGTAATAAAAAGTAGAAACCATTAAAAAATCCCAAGAAAATCCAGCAGCCGAAGAAAACGGCAAAGCTTCACTGCCAGCTCAGTCTCCAAGGGCAAAGATGCAGAGTGGTCGGTAGCAAGTTGCTTCTAAGGCGCCAGTTAGGGAAGGAAAGTAAAAAGAACAGAAGTATTATTTATAATTAGCCTACTAGAGGAGCAAAAATAAAAATAATGAAAAGGAGTAAAGAAAGCATTTGGAACCCACAAGACTTCATTAAAGTATCAAATTTTCAAATTATTAAAGTTCAGTAATGGCCGGGGATTTAGCTCAGCAGCACGGTGCCTGCCTGGCAAGCAGGAGGTCGTGAGTTTGATTCCCAGTACCAAAAAAAAAAAAAAAAAAGTTCAGTAAGAAAGGAGGAGGCCGGGTATGGTAATGCACACCTGTAATGCCAGCACTCAGGAGGCTGAAGCAGGAGGATCGCTATGAGTTCAAGGTAAGCCTGGGCTACATAGTGAGTTCAAGGCCAACCTGAACTTTATAGTGAAGCCCTGTCTCAAAAAGACCAAAAGAAAAGAGATGGAGGGAGGAGGAAGGAGAAGAGGGGAGAGGGAAAGAAGAGGGGGAAGGGGGGAAGGGGGGAACAGGGGTAAGGGGAAGAGGGGAGGAGGAGGGAGGACAGGAGAGCAGGGAGGAAGGGGGAGGTAGGGAGGAGCAGAAAAAGAGACACAGGAAGAATCCATTCAAAGAAATCCTAGATGAAACCCAGGAAATCTTGGCAGGGATTTGGACATGCAGTCCAGGAAAAGTCAAGAGACTGTAAGACAGATCAATCCACAGGCTGGGCGTGGCAGGCATGCCCATAATCCTGGTACTTGTGAGGTTAAGGCGGGAGGATCGCCATCAGTCTGAGGACAGCTTACGCTGTAGAGTGAGTTTAAGGCCAGCCTGAACTACATCGTGAGACCCTATCTCAAAAAACCAAAACAAAACAAAACGCAAAGGCTCGATCCACAGAATATTCTTATTCTGTGGGAAAACAAAAAAAGAACCCAGAAGGAAGGAACAGATAAACAGTTTCGTAACAGAAACCCCATAAGGCCTGCAGCAGGCTTCTCACCAGAAACACTGGCAACCAGGAGGGAGGGGGTGATACGGTCCAGTGGCGAAGGGAAAACTGCCAGTCAGGAATAGTACACCCAGCAAACCTGTGCTTCAGAAAAGCGGGAGAGACGAAGGTTTTCCAGAGCAAACAGCAGCTGAGGGAGTCCACTACCGTGCAACCCACTTTGTGAGGAATGCTAAGGTGAGTGTTCAAGTTGAAATCAAAGAACATCACATTACAACATGCGAATGCTACGAAACTCATTAACAGCCTGGGTACAGTGGTACATGGTTGTAATCCCAGCGCACTGAGGCAGGTGGATCGGAAGTTCAAGGCGAGCCTGGAACTTACTGACACTGCCTCAACCAGGCCAGGCCAGACCAGACCAGACCAGACCAGACCAGACCAGACCAGACCAAAAATTCACTAATAAAGGCAAGTACGTAATACGCTAATTCTGTAACGGTCGTAGATAAAACGCTTTTAGTTTTAGTATGAAAGCTAAAAGAGGCAAACATTAAGTTTGATAGCTGGAATAATTCATTAAAGGGTACACAATTTAAAGGTGCAAAGTCTGACAATAAAAAAAATGTGAGTGGGAGAGAAGTGAATGGGCAGAGGTCTTTTGTTGTTTAACAACTGAAGTTGTTGTCAGCTTAAGTAAGAGTATTATAACTACAAGATGTTTTTCTGCAGTCCCATGGCAACCACAGAGAACAAAAGTTTGAGACAATACATAAAAAATGAAGAGAAAGGATCAAAGCACACTACTAGAAAAACAGCATATCATCAGCAATGGCAGCAAGATCATTAGGAATAAAGGGAGCAGAACACGCAGTAAATAGCTAACAAAACGGCAGTAGGTGGTGCTGGCTGGTAAAAATGACTTTAAATGTAAAAAGATTAAATTCTCGAATCAAAAGACTGGAATGGCTGGATAGATTAAAAAAGGAGATCTAAAAAGATGCTGCCTACATTTTAGCTTTAAGGACAGACAGAGAAAAGGGATAGGATATTTTAGGCAAATGGAAAACCGGAAGAGAGCAGGGGTAGCTATACTGATTTACAAAAACAAATTTAAGTAGAACACTCTAAAAAGAGCCAAGGCCATTAGGTAATTGTAAAGGTATCAGTTCATCGAGAGAAGATACCACTTGTAAGTATACAGTGCTCAACTTCAGAATAAATACATTAAAGGATATGAGAGGAGACATGGACAGCAATACGACAACATCATGGGCCTTCAGTACCCTACACTCGGCAATGCGCAGATCAGACAGAACAGCAATCAGAAACACTGGGCTGGAAATACATTTTATAAGTGGACCCAAAGGACGTAAAAAAATTCCACTGAAGAGCAGAACAGACGTTCCCCTCACATATATGTCCCACCTCCATCAGCACACGGTAAGCTGCAAAACAAGTCTTTACAAACTGAAGAAGGGGAGTCACATCAAGTGTATTTTCTGCCTGCAATGGTATGACCCTAGAAACCGTAAAAGGAGTACTGCTGGACGATTTAAAGCGACGTGGAAATTAAACAACACGACAGAAACACCAAGGGCTCAAGGAAGGAAGTGCAAGAGAAATTACAAGGTACCTTGGACAGGGCTGCACATGTGGTTCAGCCGCAGAGCGCTTGCCCCGTGTGCACAAGGCTCTGAGTCAACCCAGCACCGCAAGAATAAAAACCTCGAGACAAACAATGGAAGCAGACCGTGCTAAGACTCAGCGCATGCAGCCACATCCGTCCAGGAGGAACACTCGCAGCAACAAGCAACTACCTTACAGAGAGGAAGAAAACCCAGACACTAAATCGCTTCTCTAGACACTGGAGAACTAAGCCCACAGTTACTAGAAGGAAGGGACTAATAAGGATCAGAGTGGAATACAGACACCAGAGAATGCAGAGGCAGTGGGAAAGGTCAGTGAAGGCAGGAACTGGGGGTTGAACCCAGGAGCGCTGAGCCACATCCCCAGCCCTGAGTGCTGTTTCGAGAGATGACCCCACTCAGCAGCCCGGCCTGGCCTCAAGCTTGTGATCCGCGTATCTCAGCCTCACGAGCAGCTCAATTATAGGCTTGTGCCATCACATCCATCTTAACATTTTTTTAAAAAGATAAAAAATAAAGAAGAAGAAAAAGGCTCAAGCCTGCAGACCAGAAACAAAAGACATTATGATGACAGGATGAGATACAGAGGATCGTAAGGGACTGTCACAAACGTATGCCAGAACAGAAGCAATGGGTGGACTCCTAGTAACAGAACCTTCCAGGATCGTACGGTAAATACACAAAAAATCTGAAGACACCAAGGATGGATAAAGAAGACTGAATAAGTAAAACAGTCTCCCATTTTGAAAGGGCCAGGAAGGGATGGCTTCACAGCAGAATTCCACCAAACGTTCAAAGAAGAATTGTATTGATTTCTCTGAAACTCTTCCCAGAAATCAAAGCTGAGGGAATAGTTCTTTCCCCTCCCTCACTCCTGTGTGTGTGTGTTGTGTGTTTTCAAACCCAGGGTCTTCACACTGAGCTCCTCCCAGTCCTTTGTTTTTAAAACAGGGCCTCACTAAATCTAACAAAGGTGCCCAGGAGGGGCAGCCTACAACCCTCCTTCCTCAGCCTCCCGGGGTACATACGTATCACCACACCGCAATGAGGAGGGAATATCCCCCCCCTTTTTTTTTTGGTACTGGGAATCCATCAGGACCTTGTGCTTGCTAGGCAGGCATTGTACCACTGAGCTACATCCCCGGCCTGAGGAGGGGATATTTCAAAACTCATTTTGAGGCAAACATTACCCTGATCCAAAACCCAGAGAAGGACATGCCAAGAGAAGAAAATTATAGGGCAATAGCCCTCATGGAAAGAGGTGCAGTAATTCTCAATAAGATGCCAGCAAACTGAATTCACAGGCAAGCGCATCAAAACGATCCTCTACTACAATCAAGTGGGATTTATCTCAGAGATGCAAGTATGAGTCGATACCCACAAATCCATAAATGAGATATACCAAATTAACGGAAATACAAAAGACACATGATCATCTGAACAGATGCAAAACAACACTGACCAAATCCAACATCTTTGCATGACAAAACCTCAGTAAATTAGGTATAGAAGTAACGTTCCTCAGATACATCAGAAGCATACAATCAACTGTATAATTTTTTTTTCTTTTTAGACAGGGTCTCACTATGCAGTTCAGGCTCATCTTGAGCTCACTTTGTAGCCCAGACTGGTTTTGAACTCACAACGATCCTCCTGCCTCAGCCTCCCGAGTGCTGGGATTACAGGTGTGTGCCACCACACCCAGCTTCTTCAACTCCATAATTAATAGCAATAATTGAAGTTTCCTCTAGGATCAGGAGTTAGAAATGGCGCGCAAGGCCATCACTTCTAGTCAAGATTGCTGCAAGTGGCAGCCAGAAAAATTAGGCAAAAAACAAAGAAAAAGCCACCTAAATTGGAAAGGAAGGAATAAAATTTGTTCTGCTTGCAGATGATGTGACTTTATATTTAGGAAACCCTATAGATTTTTAAGAAACTGTTAGACACAGTAAATTTACTCTAGGTGTAGAATACCAAAAGCAACATTTTGTCTGATTTTCTGTACATAAACAGTGATCGACCTGAAAAGGAATCAAGAAAGCAAACTCATAATTAGCACTGAGAAACAAAACAGACCAAACACTTAGGAGCAAATCTGAGCTAGAAGGTGAAAGGCCTGCATGTGGAAAAGTATAAAATATAGATTAAAAAAAATTGCAGAGGACATAAAAGAAAGATATTCTATATTCATGGCTAAGAATAATCAATATTGTTGAAATGTGCCTATTAACCAAAGTGATCTGCACTTTCAGTGCAATCCCTATTGATCAGTATTTTACACACATACATGTTCTATTTATTTATTTATTTATTTATTTGGTCATTTTGAGACAGGGTCTCGCTATGCAGTTCAGGCTGGCCTTGAGCTCACTTTGTAGCCCAGGCTGGTCTTGAACCCACAACGATCCTCCTGCCTTAACCTCCCGAATGCTGGGATTACATGAATGTGCCACCACGCTTGGTTTGTGTAATTTATTTGAATTCACAAATAGTCAAAGCGATATTCAGTGAAACATCACACTGTGATTTGAATGCCCATAACAATGGCATGTAATAACAGCTTTTCTCTTTGAATTCTCATTCCTTAACAGTTCCTTTCAGTAAACCATTAGATATCAGCCGTACAATTATCCCAGCTATCCTATATATAGATATTATACGTATATATATTTTTCCCATCTTTTTTATGCTTAATTTTTTTGGACCAATTTTACATGCTTGTATCTAGTAATCTGAACAACTAATTTAAAGACAACAATATACAATATAACAACCATTGGTGAATTCCTACCATCTTGCTTAGCAAAGCTCTGTATTGTTTTTAATGTTTTCTAAATTATTTTTATTCTCTTTAACGGTTTGATCAATCTTGCATTCTTACGTCTGGGAATCTGAGCAACTTCGTTGAACATAACAATATGTAATATAACAACCACCATTAATTCCTATCATTTTGTTTTGAAACCCTGTGTTGTTTTTATTGTTTTTGCTTTGTTTTGTTTTTGTCTATGTTGTTGTTATGTTGTTGTTATTTTTATTCTCTTTAAAATAAAATAAAAAATTATTAAATTTTCATTCCTTGAATTTTTCTAAGGAACATATATGAATTTCATACAAAAATTTAAAGAATTGCAACCTTTGGCATAAAAGGATCAATTAAGCCAAGCATGGTGGTGCACATCTGTAATCCCAGCACTCAGGAAGCTGAGGCAACATGAGTGTCATAAATGTAAGTCCAGCCTGGGCCATATAGTGAGTTCAACGCCAGCCTGAACCATACGGTGAAACCCTGTCCCATCACTCCCACAAAAGACAATCCCCCAAAACAAAAACAAACAAACAAAAAACAAAAGGACACGCAGTTTCAGCTCGAGAAGAGGAATAGGTTGTGGAAATAATAACATGAAAATTCTCATCACAAAATCAATAGTGATAGGAGGCATATATTAGTCAGCTTGATTTATCAAAATATGTTGCATAGATACCGGAGAAAAACCAAAAAAAAAACAAAAAACAAAAAAACAAAAAAACAAAAATATGTTGCATACCACCACCAGTGTAAAGAAATAAATAATTACAGTCCCCTCCTCTGAATTCAAAGAAATCTAGCATTTGATTCCACGTAAAATCCAATCTCTTCCTCTTTAAACCACATGCTAATATGATATGTCAAAATTAACCTCTAGGAGGGATTCTTCTATACACTAAGATTCATTTTTTGTTTTTTTTTTTGTCTTTTTGAGACAGGGTCTCGCCATGCAGTTCAGACTGGTGTTGAGCTCACTTTGTAGCCCAGGCTGGTCTCAAACTCCCAACGATCCTCCTGCCTCAGCCTCCTGAGTGCTGGGATTATAGGCGTGTGCCACCACGCCTGGCTTTTTTTGTTTTTGTTTTTTGAGACAGGGTCTCACTGTGTAGTCCAGGCTGGCCTCAAACTCATGGTGACCCTCCTGCCTTAGCCTCCCGAGTGCTGGAATTACAGGCGTGTATCAGCACATGCAGCTGACACTCGGATTCCTAGAAGAGCTCACAAGAGGATTTGAACAATGGTCCCATGGGTCTGTGACATTACCAGAGGGTTGCTCAGGGGGTGGTGCTTTGAGGAATAATCCTATCCTGCAGTGCCCTCACCGATCCCTGAGGAGGAATTACTGAGATAATGTGTTATTAAGGGAGGGTAATTTGGGCCAAGGAAAGTAAGTAGGTCCAAGTCATATGAACTCGGTCATTTAATGAACAGAAAGAAAACTCACCTGAACCTTGACTTTAAGATGTGCAACAGGTCTTCCTCCTCAGGGTGTTTTCTTTTCAACTGGCCTGGAAGAAAGAGGAGGGCAAGAATGAGACACGAGGGCATTTCCGGAGCGCCGGCTACAGTAAAACACACAGTTGAAAGGTGTTGGGCGCTAAGTGTCGCAGAGACCCCTCAGTGGTGTGCCTGCACCAGCCGGCTGCCTCCCACCTCAGGTATCTCCGCAGGTAAAACAGGAAGCTCGCTGTTCCTCATGGCATTCCTTCTTTCTCTCTCCCCTCAGTTGCTCCTCCCTCCTTCCCTGTCTGCAGCACTAGAGAGCGAACGCAGGGCTTTTACACTGAGCTACATACCAATGTCTTTATAAAAATTTTTAACATTTTGAAAAAGGGTGTTGCTAAATTGCCCAGGTGGGCTTAAACTTATTTCCCTGCCTTAACCTCCCACGGTGCTGGGATTACAGGTGTGAGTCACTACCTGCTAGAAAATCTAGTCTTGAGGCTGTCTCTTGTCATCCAGGTAGCGTGGGAGAAGGGCACTAGCTTCGAGTGGAAGGACCTGCCTGTAATCCCAGCACTGGGGAGCCTGACGCAGGAGGATCACTGCGAGTTCGAGGCCAGCCTGAACTGTATCGCAAGACCCTGTCTCAAAAAAAAAAAAAAAATCGTCATCTGGTGACTGCGCCTGCGTCGTCCTTGTTGTTTTGGTGTTGGGGATGAACTCATGGCGTAGTTCATCCCACAGGCTCTTCTACCACCTGTCAATCCCCACCTCTTCTGTCTCCTCCTCATCAGCCGCTTTCGGGACGGGGTCCGGGTTCTCAGATACCCCTGCGCCGCTGCTCCCGCGCGGGCACCACACAGCTGCGAGGTGAAGCCTGAGAATGCAGCGACGACAGGAGAGACACAAGCCACACGGTCACTCACCCGTGCGCACCCCGGCGCCCGTCCCCCCACGGCGCCCGCCAGCCTCGGCCTGCCACACCCACTGCGTCACACCTGTTGCCCACGGGGACTCCCGGCGGGGCCGTGCAGGAGCCCGGGGGGAGCCCGCCCTGGTGCCCAGCTGCTCCCACCTCTGCCGACCACACACCTGTGTCACAGCTGCGGCGACGGAGTCCGTGAGCATCGCCCCGCGCGTCTGTCTCTGCGGCCCCCGGAGCACATACGCAGCCCATACAATGTCGCAGCTGCGTCACAGGTAGAGATGCTCACCTGACCCGTTCCCATAGACACCGACGTCCACTCACACAGCAGTACCATGGTTACCGAGACAGAAGATGGTCGCTGCATCACGCCGCCCACTCCAGCGCCCCCGTTCATTCTTCCGTGCGCGCCAGTGCGCATGCGCACACGCAGCCATCTCGGAAACATGGCCGCCCGCGTGAACTGCGCTTGCGCGTTACATGCGACAGGCACATGCGCAGTGGTGTTTCGGCTCTCTCTCGCTCGCCAGCCGAGACCGCGTTCCTACCCGCTATGACGTGGGCGAACAGCGGTGTCCAAGGAAACCCATGCACGCATGTCCCAGCATGCAGCGCGGTACAGCAGTGCGGGCTCTCAGCGTAAACAACTGGGGGTTACTGAAGAATACGATGGCGACAATAAAGGAAAAGGCAGTTCAGATCTGCTGGATGGATCACGACACGTGTGTAAATATCACGCGTGAAGCAGGGCGCTGGAGGCTGCAAAGTTTGGGGTCTGCTCTTGCGGAAGAGGGCGCGTGCGTGCCCTGAGCCCCACTCCACGGAAATAGCAGCCGTGCGCCGTCTTCACGGCCAAGCGTGTTACTTTTAAACATTAGCAGACACACTTTCAAAAGGAATGTTTCTCCTAAAGACATAGCCTCGACTGTGCACAGAAAATTCACAAAATATTAATTTGGGATTAATTTGCGGAATACATTTCGTCTTTCCTGTCACCTTACTTCACTATCACGGGGACTGAACCCAGGGTCTTGTGGCTTCCAGGCAGGTGCTCGGGGACTTGGCAATATCCCCATCCCATCTCCCTGAATTCACCCGGTTAGACTCGAACTTGTGATCCTCCTACCGCGGCCGTGGCCACCACAGTTGGCCGAAACCAGCTCTGTGAAATCTACATACACCCACATACGTGAAGAGCTGGCTGGGAAAAGGGCTCCAATCCCAGGCCATGCGCTATAGAATTGACAGTTCTCTCCACCGTGTTTCCTTCCCAGAAGGTGCAGTTATAATTTTTACTTATAAACGTTTTTCGTTGTTTTCTAAGACAGGTTTTTGTAGTTCAGGTTGGCTTTGAACTCCCTACAAAGCCTCGGCTGGCAGCGCAGTTGTAGTGATTCCCTTGCGTAGCTTCTCAAGTGCTGGGATTACAGGCATGCGCCACACCGGGCAGAATTTTTAAAAATGAAAAAAAAAAAAAAGCAAAATAGGGGCTGGGGATTTAGCTCAGCGGCAAAGCGCCTGCGGCAAGCGCAAGGTCGTGAGTTCGGTTCCCGGTACCGGAGAAAAACCAAAACCAAAAAAACAAACAAACAAAAAAGCAAAATAAAAGATAAGTAATAGGAAATAGGAAGATGGATCTTTTGTAAAGGGGAAAGGGATGAAGAGATGGGGGGGAGGACTGAAGAAAGGGGAAGGGGATGAAAAAAGAATTAAGATGCGTTACATATACCTACCAATGCCTTACAAGGGATCTGATTTTTTTTTTTTCAACTGTGAATACATACCAGTAAAATAAAAATAAAAATTTTATGGTGGAAGATGAATTAAATTATGGTCTGCTATATAAAGGCATGGAGTATATTTACCAATTAAGATTTTATTAAGGATTTATGATGATTTACCAAATAAAGTGGATTTAATCATGGACACATAATATGGAAGGCTGTCTTAATGAAATTAAGAATACAGGCTCTATGTTCTGACATTCAGGACATGAATCTGAGCTTTTAAAGTTATTAATTTATTTGTTTATTGGTAAAAGTGATATAAAAATGGTTGTCCCAACTAATAAGTGAAATCACCTACATGAAACCTTCAGTTCAGGCTGAATTTGCATTTTAAACTGCTTGGGAGGACCTCTGAGAAGATGGTCAAATAAGACTGATCAGAGTCAATGAAAAAGCAGGAGATAGTACAAATGACACAAAAAACCTATTCACAAAGTAATGGCAGAAAACTTCCCGAGCATGGAAAAAGAATTTGACATTCAGATAAATGAGGAATATAGCCTTCAATTAGGCATGATCAGAAACAAAAAAAAAACTACTCCAAAGCACACTAAGCACAAGAACAGATATTAAAAGATGTTAGATAAATGAAACAAATCACCTATAAAGGAAAGCCCATTAGAATCAAGCAGTTTTCTCAACACAAATCCTTAAGTCAGGGAGAGCTTGGAGTGAAGTATTTCAAGCCCGAAAAGAAAACAACTAGCAACTCAAATTGATGTACCCCATAAAACTCTCTTTTAAAATTGATGGACAGCCGGGTGTGGTGGTGCACGCCTGTAATCCCAGCACTTGGGAGGCTGAGGCAGGAGAATCATTGCGAGTTTGAGACCAGCCTAGGCTACCAAGTGAGCTCAAGGCCAGCCTGAACTGCATAATGAGACCCTGTCTCAAAAAGACAAAAAACCCAAAAGACCTAAAAACAAACAAACAAACAAAAAGCCAAAATTGATGGAGTAATAAGATACTTCCATGACAACACCTGAGGAAATTCATGAACACCAAACCAGTCCCCACCATGTCCAAATGTACAAAAGACGTTCTAAAAAGGGATTATGGAGATTGCATCACCACGGACCCCAGCAGAATGAATCCCTCAGGTAAGGCAAGTAATTAAACAGAGGGGAAAGAAAGGGAACCAACAAGAAGAAAATAACACAACAAAGATAAATCAATAGATATCAGTTATAACCATCAATATAAATGGTCTCGC